GCTTGTTAGCCGTCCTCCTCTCCCCACCTTGAGCCAACAAGGGCGCATTATCCCCCGAAGGCGACGCGGATTAATTATTTATCGCGTCTATCTTCGGTTTGACGGGAAGCTAGGCGGTTAGGTGTCGCGCGCGAGATTAAACGAGGTCAGATTCATGAGATTCGATCGCGATAAACGCGATGGATCGATAAAGCTCTGTTAAATATGTACCTGTGCGTCCGTGGTTATTACGAACGGAAGTTACGATCGTTGGACGGTGATTGCTACCTTCGCGAGACGGTCTTCCTTTTCCGCCAGTGGAGGATAATTTTAGAAAATCGCCCTCACCTTCTTCGTATCCCTTCTACGTTGCTTTCGTTGGCTCGTTCGATTCGTCGAAAATTTATATAAATTTTTTTTTCTTATTTTATCAAAAATAACACGTGCGTTCTCTGTTAATTACATATTCGTTTACACTATTTAGATACAGATTATGGTTATTCCAGAATTATAACCCAATCCAAGGTTTAACAAAAGGCGCTGCATACAGACTGAATTCGCACGTAGAATGGGTGACCAGGTGTAACAGAGTATTAACGATCCATGAATGGTACACGGCCGGTCAAGGATTCGAGAACTACGCTCAATTACTACGCTCTCGGCACAGTAAATCATGAACGAGATACAGATCCGTGGTCGGATGGCGACCCTTTGAAGCACCTTCAAGGTTACACCTTCGGACTGCCGTCGATAGATGCACAGGAACGGTAAACAGGAAACGTATTCGATCGATAGGGCGAAGGAGCTTCCGGTAGATACCGGTAGATATATATCGATGATCGTGGGAGTTCGTCGGCCGATTTATATTTATATATATAGTTCGAGGAGGATCATAGAGAATAACGCTCTCTTCTCGTAAACGAGAATGTTTCCACATCCTTTTTTTCCTCTCTCATATTTTTTATCTCTTAAACATCACAATTGTGTAACAAATATATCCCCATGCATCGATTGTTTTCCATTCGTTCGCACTAAAATTTAATTCTTCTTATTATTCTTTTTATTACCGACTCTATATTTCGCAACGTTTGAAAATAAGCGTAAACGTTTTTACTCAATTTCGATATTTTCCGTAACGGAAATTGAATTGCAATTTACACGATCCTTCGATAATGAAACTAAACCGGTATACGGTTAGAAGTAATGTGAATAATAAAAAAAAAAGAAAAAAAAAAGAGAGAAACCACAGAGAAAGCGTCCGTGTACAGATACAATAACGCTTATTCCCCAAATACGCCATTACTTCGACCTCGTAAATACACCCGTTATGGGCCATAAAATCGAATAATCGTCGACCGATATTTAGCGGGTACAGCGGCTCGATAACGTTTTGTCCACGGTCAGCAGATTGCCGATTGAGCCGCGCTGAATCAATGGTTTGCGTCCGTCCACGATGTAACTGGATCGTCATATTTTTACATTCGCCGTGCTAATCGATATCAATAACGCTTTGATTTCCGGCTAAGAGTTTAGAATCGTTAAATCCTTCCTTCCTCCCATGAAATTCACGTATTTAAAAAAAATCGAAATTATTTTCCAATCTCCTTCCTCCCAATATTATATCCACATACAGATTCTCTGTAATTTGAAAATTAATTAACAATTTAATTAAAAATTGAAGGCAACTTCAATTTTTTCCCCCGATGGAATAGCGTCGTTGTACCAACCGCTGATAAATCCTCTTCGAGGCTTCCTTCTTTCGTTTAATTCAAACCTCTAATCTCGCGCGCCTATCCATCACCTTCTCCCCTCCCCCTTTTTTAACATAACCAAGTAATGCATCATCGCAGCAAATTTCCCCTCGTATATCGCTTAACCGCACCTTCTCCTCTTCGACTTCTGATTAAGCGAGGCAGGCGACAAGGGGGTGCAAACGGCGGACGGCCTCGCGATTAATCGGCCAGGTGTGTACGTCGATTTCTCCATTGTCAGTCGGGTTGGCCGGCGGCGGCGGCGCGTCATTCTAACGCTTCACGCTTTACAAACTATATTTCACTCGGCCCACGGTAATTTTATGTGCAAGCTGTCCCACCTATCTCCGCGGCGCGAGCGAACAGCCGCGGGAACACCGGCACCGGCTAGATACCCCCAAGTTTATTGCCGTTCGGTGATAACCCGTAAATTGCTGTCCATAGGAAACGGGTATAAGCGATAGCACAAAGCCGTAATCTGCGCCGAATCGCCCGCAGAGTCGGCGAGCGGGCAAACTTCTATCGCCGATTCGACTGGCTCCGTTTTTTTCACCTCCTCCACGCTCGCCCATAATTTTCCCGCTTTCACGCGCATCGAGCAATAATTATTGGCTCCCGTCATTGGTTCATCGAATTCATCCTTCCTTTTCTTCTTTTTTAATCGATTAACGTCCAGTTGTAATTTAGAAGATTTCATGGCTTCGCGGTCTGACTTCCTGGATCGTTACTCATCTCGAGATGCTGCTTCAGAGTTCCTTGTATATCTGTTTGTTGATAGAATTATCGCAAGTAAGTGAAACGTATAATGAGTATAGAAATGAAAATGATCGAGGATAAGGAGAAATTTTTAGGAAGCGCATCGAGTAATTCCCGAATCTTTATTTTCCTCCCTTCCTCGCGATTTTTCCGCTTCGCCACGACGCGCGAACGTCGTGATTTCTTTCGCGTGATCGGTATACATATTTCCATGAAGTTGAACAGCGTCTCGTTCGCGTATGAAAATTTATATGCGCATATGCCACCCAGTGAGAAAAGGTACCAGTGCGCCCCTGCACAATCTCGCGCGTATAATCGTGTTCCTCGCGTTTCTTAGGGGTTGGTTCAGCAACCCTCGTGCTGAATTCAGGCCGAGTCATTAGTCGGTGCAGAAATCGGGTCAAGTGTCTCGCGCGCCGCTTCATTACACGTTCGACGGGGGAGGATTAAGAACGCGTTTAGGGCGCGGCGTGTGAATGGTCCAACGCCTGGTCGCTGAGACTCTCGTCTCGAATTCTAATTTTCCTAAGTCGGTACGAGAAGCGAAAGTGGGAGTTTAGAAATTCGAAATATTCAGGATATCTCCTGCGCGATAGAATTTGAAATGGGACCTATCTCGAGATTAATTGTAAATAAAATTTCAAAAGAAGGTTCGTTCGAAGGATTAATTCGATGAATTTTTCGATGAATTTTCTTATTGCGAATTGAGTCTTTATTATAAACATTATTTCACGAGCTTAATTAGCTGTTATTATCCAAATTTATTCTAGTGCGAATGAAAATTACACAAATCACGAATTAACAAAATCTTTACGTGTCTTGGAAGAATAGGCGACGATTCGAAAGTAAACTAAAAACTTAGTCATTGTCGTAAAATCGTTTCCAAGAACGATTTTCCAAGAAACAAAGCGGCGGATGGTAAATCGACGATAAACAGCCGCGTTTTACGATTTAGCAGTATCGAAAAGGAAGGTTTAATAAATTTCTTTAGCCGACATGAATCCGCAGCTCCGCACCGATCATTACGCTAATTAACCACGATGACTTTCATACGGCTTATCGGGGATTGAATCGGGGACGCGCGCGCAATAAAATGCCTGGCTATGAGGCTTTCCTAGTCTGCGCGCGTAAAAATAACCGCGTATTCAAGCGGCACATGTCAATGATTCACGAGCGGAAGGGAGGAAGAGAGGGGGAGGGGCGGGGAGAAGCGGTCGACGTGGAAAAACGCCGGTCGCGGTGAACGACGTCTTCAGAAGCGCGAATTTTATTCAACCGAGCTGTCTGCATCCGTCTGCGCCAACTATCGCTATCATTTTCCTAGGCTTTTGCGAAAAAAACGCGCGCAAAGTTTGCAAGGGAGAAAAAAATCGCGTAGCGCGAGCATTGAAAACGAGGGCTAGGAGATGAATTGAATGCGCCCCCTTTTCTCTCGGATGGTTTTTAACATGTTACGCCGTTGTCGATGTTGGATTCGAAGCTTTTCGACCGTGCTACTATCAGAAAAACCGTGGCTTCGTTGTAAGCTTGTTGCGGTTCCACGCCAACCCCTTTCTCACGGGGTTGAAACGAAGGCGGATTTCATTGGTAACGTACGTGACGTAGCGTGAGACTACTTTTGTCTTCGAAAGATTCAGACGATGACCCAGATTCGGGTTTATTCGTAGATTTGCAAAGGTACGAGCTTTCGAATGGAGTTGGAGCTTTCACGCGGTTTTGCGCCGTGTCGATGCGGGGTTGCTCGTCGGGAGCACAGATGGGGCTAGTGGTTTCGCGATGCGGCTTAATTCAAAGCGAAATATTTCTGTTTCTTTTTCTTTTTTTCTTTCTTTTCTTTTTTTTTTTCTTTTCTTTTTTTTTACAAGATTTTTCACGGATCGCGGCAGTCTGTATTTGGAGCAGACGAAACAATTTCAGGGGGTGGAAAATACGTTTCGGTGTAATTTGGGCCAGGTTAAAGTGGCGAAATCTGTGTTATTCAAGAGGCTGTTTTAAAGCGTGCTAAATTTCAGTTTTAATCTCCATTTATTCAATGGTTTGAACGTTTCTCTCTGCTCAATATCGCGATGCGTTTGTTAAGGAGTTTTAATTACGCAATATTGCCTACGGTACGCGCAACTTAATGCGCATTCCGCCGTTCACTCCTCAATAGCCCTCTTTAGACATTTTAATTGTTCGAATTGAAACAATCAGATCCGATTGTTTCGCATGGAAATCAAGCGAAAACGTAATTTATTCCTCCGCGGGAGAACTTCTACTTCCATAATTCCGTTCATATCAATTTACTCTTAACTTCGCGAGATTAACGCGCGAAAAACTTGACTCGATCGAAATTTCCCACGCCACTTAATCCTTTTTCCAACTTCATTTTCTTTTTGACCTCTCATTTCTTATTTTCATCCCCTGAAATCTTGAACTTTCCAGAATCATGCACCACGACCGATATTTCTCATATACCATCGTTCGATACATCTCACTCGCTCTCCTCTCTCGAAAGAAGCGAAACGAATCCACCTCCAACTCGAATTTTCAACACCCTCCTTGCTACCGTTTCAATTACTCCATCCGTTTCGGGACAATCGTACCCGCGAAAAGAAAAAGGGAGAGGGGGGAGACCCTTATGCCGTTGGGACGTGTGACGAGTCGCGTAATTACAGAGACTTGGATCCTGTATTTTCATCAGCGTTACGATGACGCTGCCACGATGACGCCTGCGAGAAAAAGCCGCGTGGGCGGGAAAGGAAGCGAAGAAGCGGGAAGGAGAGACGCTCTAATAGATTGCACGCTCGCCGTTACTGTTACTGGTGCGCCCCTCTTTTGCACGTACGCGTTGGCACGCGTTCTCCCGCCTCGCTGGAAGCGCGAAATCGCGCTCTGCGACGGAGGAGGGGCCCTGACGACGTTCTTTTTTTTCTTCCCTCCCCCCTCTCCTCTTCTCCTCAACTCGCACAACTCGAGGAGAAGAAAACTCCCAGGCGCAACCCTTCTCTCTCTCTCTCTCTCTCTCTCTCTCTCTCTCTCTCTCTCTCC